CAATATTCGAAAATTTATGGAAAGGCCTTTTCAGCTGATTTAACCACAATCTGAAAATTATTTATATTTAACAATTATTCGCCGAAAGCGAAGTGAACATTGGTGATTATAATCCATCAAATATTTTCGCCAGTGCGCGATTAGTTTAAACTCGTCACTTGGCTGAATATTCCCCAGCTAAAACTGGAGAATATCGGCGTGATATCCCCCAATTTTCAAAACTGCGCACGTTGCGAAAAATATTTGAAGGAGAATAAATACAATAGCCTCCATTTGGCGTGAAAAAAAAAAAATCTTATTAGATGTTTTGGCGTGTAGTATCGCTGTATATTTTCACGAGTTGTGCCGTGTTTGACGAGCCCGTAGGGCGAGTCAAAATACAAACAACGAGTAAAAATATACAGCGACACTACACACCAAAGCATCTCATAAGATATTTATTATCCAACTGCTGTAGTGAATAAATTAATCAGTGAAAAAGGGTGAGTATGACAGTTTTGCGTGCGCGCGTCGGCCAGTCCGGGAAACAGGTTTGCTACTGTACAAATAACTGTGCAATATCGCTGTATATTTGTACTGTTATTTGGACGGTATTCGCTGCAGTTGGATAATAAGCTCGGATATTTGTCCTCGGACATTATCTGTTCCGAGAAGCGAACAGTTTTCCGAGAGCCTGTGAGCTTCGAGCAATAGATAATGGCCAAGGACAAATATCCGAGCATATTTTTGCGCCAAATGGAGGCTATTGTGTTTATTGTCCTTCAAATATTTTTCGCAACACGCGCGGTTTTGAAAATTGGGGAATATCACTCGCGCGCGAGCGAAACTATTTGATGGATTATAAGAGATAATAGATAACCATCTCATATCCAACAATCGAGAGTGGAATAATTGTTTTATTAATTAATTAATAAAAACGCCCCTAAGTATAGAAAACTAAGCTAAAATAAAAATATAAACGCCCGAAAACATTACGCGTACGGTTACCATACTTGTAGAGCATGGTATAATTGCTCATATACATGATGGCTAAGCCAATGAAAACTCTTGAATTGCATTATCCAGTGATCCAGTTTTTAATAATAACTATAAGACCTCGCTTCTGATATCAAAAGTGCGATGTGACAAGCATTAGGGGTTTTTATAGACTACGAGTAGTCCTTCTTTCTCTTAGTCCGTCCAGCGAGACCGTAAATAAAATAATAGCCGCGCTTTCGCGTTTTTCTCGCCCCCAGGATTTCGCGCGGCCATTTTTTT